AAATAACTAGTGCATTAAGTTATGTTGTCTGAAGAAAAATGAGTCTAATCTGCTATTGAGGGAAAACTTTTTTTCCTCTCGTCCCCAAAAAAATTTAGAATTGTTTGGACCAAAGATCAAACCTAGACTAAGCAACCCTAAACTCTCAACTTTGCTGGTTAAGCTACACTTAGCGGTTCTAGTTGACTAATTTTTAACTACCCACAACTTATAACTAACTTGATAATTGCTCTTCAAATACACTAATGTAAGTTGGTTTATTCTTCTTTAATTATTGGAGTCAATGTTATTTATTTATTTTTTGGTGGGGGGTTTGGTTTACTTGTAGGTATATATTTTCTCTTACCTTTTTTTTTTCTCTATCAAATTTATATTACTTTTAAAGGTGTGTAGGTATGTTGTAAAACTTATCAACAATTTTTTTTTAAACGGTTGTTGAATTCCTTACTTTTATTTTTTTAATCATATATCGTTACGTTAATGATGTATTTTTGAAGGGAGAGATCCTCTCAATTTTCAGTCATGTGAAATTTTTGTATTTATTTTTCTCTTCACATGCATTAAATAGATTAATCAAATTATTATTAATGAAAACAAAAAAACCCAAATGAGATAGCTCAATTGATTGTATGTGGATTAAGCAAAGTGAGAACAAGAATCACGGTTTGAATCTCATCAAATGTCACGTCAGAGAAGGATAAGAAATAGCATAATTTCAAATTAAGGCTCCAAACTTCGGAGTAATTTTATTGGTGACTCAAAGAGTCAAATTCATAGAAACATGAGATCTAATTCATCTCAAAAAAATAATTATGATCGATTATAAAAAAGAAAATAAAGAAAATAAACATAAAAATTTAACATCAACAAATCATATGAAATCTTAATACGCGACGAGTCGTTTCTTTTTTAAAGTGTACCACACATGGCATGTAGTATAATTCAACCAATATTTTTTACAGAGCGACTGAGCCCCATTTTGAGTACGGAATAATTCCAGAAACCGTAATAATGAAGCTTACTGATAAATTACAATGGATGCTTTTTAAGATAAGATGATTGTTCCTAAAAAAAATTCTTGCATAGATATTTTACATAATTTCTATATATTAAATTAATAGATATTTAATATATCATAACTTTATTAAAAGATTTTATAAATTATGTAATAAGTAATTATTTTATATTAGAAATAATGATGTATGACTTATTTCTTTATTAATGTAATCTACTTATTTTCTATAAATTATATTTGAAAAAAATGTGTGTCATTTTAAAGGATGTAAAGTTATGTCATTTTAAGTGAGAGAAATAGATAAATCATTGGAGAGAGAGAGTGGAAAAAAAAAAGATTTGAATCTCACCTATTTATGAGAATAAAATGACACAAATTATGTCATTTAAAAAGACAAACATTTTTCCTATTATACTTCCCCAAAAGTTTATCTAGGACGAGGGCTCCAAACCCCTACAACCACTATTTAATAATTCAACCATTGTTTCAAACTTCATCATCACACATCATTGTAACATGCGGCAATCATTAAATTTAGCAATTCACCACTTGGTTAAATCTGTGCATACAACACAAACCGATTGAAAAGAAGTTGAACATAAGTACGTGTGTTTAAATTTTACATTATACTTTTTTTTTCCCGATTTCTTTGGGCATTTTCGACCATCTAAAGTCAAAAAATAAGTAAATGAATAAATAAATCTTGATGATAATTGTGCTTAATCGGTGAATAAACTTTATATAGGATGACATTGCTTTTCTACTGATTTTAAAGAGTTGAAATTTCAGAATGAAAGTATTCAACTACGACATGAGTCTGACTGCGCCACCTCCTTTTTATAGTTTATCCAAAATTAATTTCACATATTAATATACTTTAAATAAAGACATAATTGAATTACTATTTTGCAAAGCAAATGAATTATTTTCAATAAATATTTAATTTTGTATTTGAAAAATTAGGGAGTCTGATGGTAATCTTAAATACTTGGCACAAAATTCGCACACATCTATATATAGGGATTTATAAGAGTTATGTTGTAGAAAAAGTGATTGTGTTATGTTATAGAGATTCGTTTTGCGTGTCGGAGTTTTTTTTTTTTTTGGTTTCAAAAATTGTGGGTCCCACAAAATGTTGTGTGTGTAAAAAAGTTATTGTGGTCATGTTAAAAGATAGATGCAAAACCCATATATATATATATATAAAGTTGATTTTAGTAATAATTGTATACTTTTGGTGTTTTGGAGACTAATTTATAAAAAAATCAAAACTCTAATATGATAAATAATAATTTAATATTTAAAAAAAAAATTTGAAGAAAAATAATTAAAAAAAAAAGATAACGACATCTTAATTTAAAAAAACAAATTAAGATTGTACTATTATAAAATTACATATAATTTTTATGTAACTGATTAAATTTGATATAGTATTGTTTTTTTATTGTATGATTACAACAATTTTTATATATTATTTTTGGGAAGGTTTATGTTTACAAATTTTTTATTTACTAACTCTTACAAAATATATTATATACTCCAGATAATATATAGGGTTGGCAAAACAGGTCAACCCGGCTCAACTCAGTCCAACCTGCATGCAATCCGAAAAAAATGAGTCGGGATAGGGTTGGCTCGGAAAAAAAAAAACAAGTCAGAAAATTCAACCCAACCCGACCCGAGTCGGGTTAGGGTTAGCTCGCAGGTTGGTTCAAAAATATGACTCGTGGTTTGGCTCGAAAATTGGCCTGCGGGTTGGCTCATTTTCAGCCTATTTAAATGAACATGTAATATTAATGCACCAACTATGTAGCTTCCATTAGCTTAAATAAAAGGTTACAAAATGAGAAATAAAAACAAAATATTCTACAAATTTGCACCAACATCAAAAAATAATCAGAACCACTCATTACCAAGTGGATAAGATATTTGAACCAAACAAAGCCAACACAACTTAAGAATATAAAAATGATAGGGATGTGAGAAGATTAGAGACTTAGGTTCAGAGAAGGAAGAAAGACGATGACAGCAAATTAGAACACACAGAAGAATAGTAAGACGATAATACTCTAAGAGTACTAAGAATAAAAAAAGAGTGTACTATCATACTCATGCTTCTTGCATAAATAAAAAACGAAATTAATCCATTTATTTCATTATACATTCCTTATATTATTGATTATTTCATTATATTTATACTCTTGATTCTTTTCTTAATATTTTTTTTATTATACTTAGTATAATTATTCAATTTTACTAAGTATAAGTATATATAAATTCGATTGATTATAGAATATAGATTATCTTTATAAAAAACAGGAATAATCAAAAAGTTAATAGAAAAAAATATATTAAAAAAACAGGTACAAATATTAAATGAGTTTTATAAGAGTTATATTATAGAAAAAATGATTCTGTAATGTTATAAAGATTCGTTTTGCATGCCGTAATTTCTTTTATTTTTTTTCTACAAAAAAATGTGAGCCTCACAAAATATTGTATGTCTAAAAAAATTTGTTGTGTCATGTTAAATGACAAAAGTAACCGCATATTAAATTAGGTTCCCATCCTATGATAAACTTTCGAAAATATAACCTATTTCGTTATCTTCACGCTGTTGCTGCAATGTGCATGCCTCCTGCCTGCTGCATCCTTGCCCTCAGCGTCTCAGCCGCTCACGGAGCATGCGCCTTTGACTGTAGGAAAAATCGAAGTCAGAAACCTGTGCAAAATTGAACTACTGTTCCCTTTTAGTTGAACAACTGATTTTTGAAAATTGTGTATAATCAAAGTGATATCTGTTACCTATGAATTCCTGGAAATGTTTATTATTCTCTTTTTATAATCCCTAGACGGAAACAAACACTTCTTTGCATTCGCACTCGTCCTTTCCAATATTTAAAGTCCTAGCCCAATCTCTTTCGTACAACCTCGGAAGGACCAAATCGCAGTTTTCAATATTTAAAGCCCACATCCAATTTCATATTCGCAGATTTTAGAGCATTTCCCCACCTTTATTTGAGCGTAGTTTTAGCATTAATGTTTTACTCAAGCGAGCGATTGATTAGACAAATTAGGCAACACTCACTGAGAATCATCATAAAAAAAGGGAAATAATAATCTTATGTTACATAAGATTGTTATCTTATGCATAAGACACAAAGTAAACGTGGGACCCATTTTAATTTTTTTTCTCTTCCTTATTCTCTCTCCTCTCTCTTCTCTATGTGTGTGTAGGAGATAGTTTTTTTCCTATGCAACATGAGAAAAGACAATCCCTAAAAAAAATTTAAAAACGGACACAGAGAATTTAATAGCGATGAATCTCATTATTTTATGCTTTTGCTACGTTAAATGCCCTGATAGTTTTAACTTTTAAATAATAAAAAAACAATAGTTAAAATAGTCGAAGTATAAGAAGTAAATATAATTAGGAGTTTGTAACACCTCAGTAATGTTACTACCAATTAATTCTATCGTTAGATCAATTATTTGATCCAACGGTTATATTTATTTTTATCCTTGTATTATGATTTTTCATATTTAATACTTTATATTTATTTTTACTTTTGTATGGTTATGATTCCTCATATTTAATGTGAAATCATAACCATATAAAGATGAAAATAAATATAATCATTGGATCAACATAATCGATCTAACGATGGAATTGATTAGTAGTAACATTGATAATAACACTACTTAGTTGTTACAATATCCTACCTTATATAATTAAATAAAAGGGTTTAGTGTTTGTCATTTTAAATGACATAAGTTATATCATTTTAGGAGAGAGATAGACACAGAAAAACAGAAATGAGAAAAGAGAAAGTGAGTAATTTTTTTTAATTTAAAATTCGAATTTTCTGTGTGTATATATCTCTCTTAAAATAAAAAAACACTTTTTACATGAATAAAAAGGCATTATACACGAAGCCAACAAGAATTGGAGGATAGTTATAATTACGATAATAAATAAATAAAAGCAACAAAGATAGATAAAGCAAAGCGCTTTCGGCCGCCGGTAGTTGCCACTTGCCAGAGCTGCACCCACAGCCACACAAGATTCTTCTTCTTCTTCTTATTTTAATTTTCTTTGTTTGTTTCATTTTCATCCAAAGTGAAAAGGTAGGTAGGTACCCCATATTCTCAAGGAAGTTGAACAATCTATAATAATTTCACCTTCCCAATCTGCCCTTGGGTTTCCTCTAAATTTTCACATAAGCACGAACAAATCAATATCATAATGCTGCGTAAACTGGTAGCAGTGCCAAGGAAGAAGAAATCTGGCACCGTTCCGGTTCACCTAAACGTCTATGATCTCACCCCGATTAATGGGTATGCATATTGGCTTGGCCTTGGAGTCTACCATTCAGGGGTTCAAGGTAATCAATCACTTATTTAACTCAAAGTTCCCTTTGCCTGCTGATAATTAAATAGTCTTTCATGTATTTATTTTATTTTATATTTTATTTTTGTTTGTAGTTCATGGTATTGAATATGGTTTTGGAGCGCATGAACATGACACGACGGGGATTTTCGAAGTGCAACCTAGACACTGTCCAGGGTTCACTTTCAGAAAATCAATTTTCATTGGAACAACAGATCTGGGCCCTAAAGATGTTCGGGCATTTATGGAGAAAATAGCTCAAGAGTACTGTGGGAACACCTATCATCTCATCTCCAAAAATTGCAACCACTTCTGTAATGATGTTTGTCTCAAATTAACCGGAAAGTCAATCCCTCGTTGGGTTAATCGACTTGCTCGACTTGGTAAGAAATACATCAAACTATTTTCTCATTCGTATTTAACTTGTTATCTTTCACCCTCTTTGTATGCGTTGGTTTTTCACTCATATCTTGAGAAAATTTTCAAGCAACTATGATAAATGTTAAAAAGAAGAAAGAAAGATATTTTATCATAATCTATTTCCTGGCTAAAAATAAAATTATCAAGCATAGTTGTTATATTGAGTTATCAATGCAGTTGCTCACCAGTCACCTATAGAATGTCCATGTCCAACGTTCCCTATTATTTGTCACTTGTTCATTGTCTTCCTTATGCTTGATAAACTTTAACAGCTCTTTCCTTCATTTTTATTGCAAATAGTATACTTTAAACACGAATATCAGCTGTGAAAAACATTAATTTACATTTTTGTTGTTGCATTTCTTTACAACTTAAAAATCACTCCCTGTTAAACCCGAACTAGCGAGTGTGGGGTGGAGGAAATCCTTGTACGCAGCTTTACCCTCGCATAAATTGCAAAGAAACTGTTTTCTGGATTCGAACTCATGATCTTTCAGTCATAAAAGAACAGTTTTACCACTGCGTTCGCCCCCTTACAACTTCGCAATATTTAATTTTACGGTAATGATTGTTGAATGTTATGTTTCAAATTAACGTTTTCTTCTGATACCTCTTACTAGATCCTAATTATTTCCTCATGGTTTTTCTTTTTTCAATTTTGTTGGTTATAAAGCTTGCAGTGATTATATTAATTTAGTTGATGGTTAGTAGCTCAAAATTCATATAGTAAATAAGAAGCATGTTTAAAAAAGGGCGAGCCAGTGCTAATACAGCTCAAGGATTTCCATCATACCCCCAAAGATGGGGTTTCATGCGTTTAATGGGAGTGGTTTGGTTCACAAAGAAGCATGTTTGTTCCTGCAGCAAGCATCTATTGACATATTTAAATCATTGGCTGTTTTTGATTATGCTACAATTTTCTTTCCCCATTTAATATGTACTTGTTATATGATTGACGTTTCTATGCTGCACCTTTTAAACAAGATTTATGAGCCCCACAAACAACTAGTAAGCATGTTATGATTTCTAATTGTAAGTTGTGCTCCTCAATATAAAGGTCTTCTCTGCAACTGTGTTCTTCCCCCTGGCATAAATGACACAAAGATTCAGCAAGTTACATTAGAAAGGTTTCAGGAAGGAGAAAAGAGGAAAACGAGAAGTCAATCCAGCAGGCACGAGGCTTCCTCCAATCCTCCATTGTCGTCTTGCCCTGGAGGTTCAGCAATTAAAAGTAGTAGCCGAAGACATTGCCTTCCTCAATCTTCATCTTTGATTAATGCTTCTTCAACCTCAACCTCAACCTTAACAGTAAAGTAAAGCTTTGAAAGGAGACTGGCTCTGAAATATAGGGCTTTAGAATTATGTAAGCAACCTAAGTTGAGCAGGGAAGGAAGTTGTTTATTTGTTCCATCTTTCTCTTTCATAGTCTGGCAATAGCTACTATGGAATGGTTGCTCTGTTTTATCTGTTCTTAAAATGCTTTCTTTCTTCAGTGAATGGAAAGTTTCTTTATTTCTAAACTTTTGGGGCTATGTATTCTTGAATCTTGATTAATCTTACTTACATTAGCTGATGTAACATATTGTAATATGTTCGTTGTGTAGGGTAGTGTACATCTAGTGAAGTCCGGCAAGAAAGCAAGACTGGAAATACAAGAGGGATAGTGAGTTGAGAGTAACACAGAGTCTATTGGAATCCAAATTTCTGAATCTTAAGATGCTGAATCTAATTAGGGATCCCAATTCCATCCTACAGGGTCTTCTTATTTATTCTGAAATGCAAGTTACGAAATGTTTTGAGAAATAGAGATCTCGGAGTACCCATCCTATAGGATCCTTTTAATTTGCATGGTTATATAGCATGTTTGGCTGGGTTGCCTAGTTAGGAGGATGAAAATGGAGTTTCATTCTCAAACTAATATATTTGGCAAAATATTTAAGTTGCATATTGTGCTTTAGTATGTTTTTAGTATCAAACCATGATACGAGTAAAAGTGACAAAATGTTTTTTTATTAGGTCAGCAAGAAAAATTTATTAGATAGTAAACTATATATCTAAACGTTGTTAGAAATTTAAGGGAGATACTAGAAGAAATAATCATCATCAAACCGAGAATTTGCATGTTCAATCATCCAAAGTTTGAGAAAGACTAGACGGGAAGCTCATTAAAACGTAGAGTATCTAATAGAAGAACTTATGGATTCTTAATCTTCTTAGTATCAGATGTAAATTTCCTCTTGAAGACCAAAGTGTCTACTTTTCTATTGATGAGACGTTAGAAAAGGAGACTGCACTTGGGATTTTGGGATCATATCTTTTTTTTATAGTACGTACAAATTCTTTTATGTTGAGTAGTAACTTTTGATTTTATTTTTTTGTTCATAATATAATCAAATAGTCCAAGTTGAAAGTGTTGGAAATATTTTAAGTATGAATAGTGGTGTGAAGTTTTACGTTGGCTAGTCATAGATCAAGTGAGGATTATATAAATGCAAAAGATTCATAAGGTGTTGACCCACTTATTGTATGGTGTTGACCCACTTATTATAATTTGTCATTTGGCTCATTGATAGAAATGTCTTTTGCAAAAAGGCGTTGGGCTTTCCAGGACCATTCTTAATAGAAAGCTGGAATTTCCAAGACATCCGATGGAGGACATGCCCATGTACAGATCTGCTAGCCTAGGACTGAGCTTGGGCAGTTGGACTTTTGATGTTCTAATCGTAGATTTTGGAATTATTAAAAAAAGTTCACAATGAATTTTCCACCAGCAATTAATAAAAATTTTAAAATCATAGTCAAAAGGTGTACTGAGAATTGAGAAATACTCTCATCGCTTTGGTCTTTGCCTAAAAAAACTCCAACCGCTTTAAAAAACTCAAGTTGTCGGTTAGTTCAGGGAGCCAGTCCTAGCTAACAATACATGCTTTTCGCTTTCTTTGCCCTGCTGTACTTTAACATGTAGCTTTGATGTAAAGAGTAAGCAACAGCTGCAACACCATTCGTTTTTCTTTTCTTTTCAAGTCTCTCTCATTTATATTTATTATTATTACTATTTGAAAACTTTCACTTTTAGTCGTGCCCACACAACACGCGCCTTCCGCTGTCTTTAGTCTTTACGCAAGTTTAGGAGTTTCTTATTTTTCATATTTTTTCTATCTTCCTTAATCTTATGGACTAGGGAGTAGGGAACCAGGGACAATGAAAACCCCCCAAATAATAATTGGGCTTTCGGTTCTCTACAGCTCTTTACATGTTGACTTTATTTATTTATTTTTTGCTGATTAATCACATTTAAGACCCACTAAATTATTCACATGAAAAAAAAAAAAAAACATGTCAAATAATTAACCTTTTCTCTTCCTATCTTACCTGATGAAAAGGTAAGGACTAAGGACTTTGCAAATCAATCTCCTTAACGACTAGTTAGGGTGTATTTTTCTTTTTATAAATCATAGATATCCTTTATGGGAAGTAATTTTATTCGAGGTGAATTCAGAATTAAGATTTTAAATCTCTCTAAAAAATAATACTGAGAAAGATCGAACACATATTCAACTCTTGTGCGGTAATTGAAATATCATCATTTAATTTAACAATTAGGGTGTATTTTTAAGTCAGTAATTGAGAAATTTATAGAAATATTTTACCATTGGAATCTCGCTCTACACCCTTTAAAATAATATTAAATTCATTCCCTAATCCCTACCGTACTTGTGAACATTAAAACTCTTAACCTTTTTTTTGCGTTGCACTTCAATATTTACAAAAATAGAAAAAAGCTCATGAAGTAATCCTATATTTTATATATATTTTTTCTACCTTCAACTTTAATTTTATTTTAATTAGTTCTTAAATTTCAATTATTGTGATAATAAGTTTTTCCATTAATTTGAAATTAACTTAATAAAAATGAATAAATCCTAATAGTTCATTGTTCTTAAATTTGAAACATCGATTCGTATTTGTAATAAAAAATATAGTATCTTATATTTTGATTTCTTAAATTAAAAAAGACAAAGAAAATTTTAAAAAAATTATATAAAACTTAACACGTTATGTGCTTCTTTTCTTCTTCTTTGAACCAAGACAAAAAACACAAAATTTGAGATTTTTTTATGTCGGTCAGGAGAAGAAGAAGACTATAATGTTTCAAGCTCTGTGTTTTTCATTTTTTATTAATTTTTAATTTAAGAGATTTTTTTTGGAAAAAAGAAAGATAATGAGTGTAAAACCTGTAAGAAAATAATTGTGTCTTGAAAACAAGATAGTATAATGTATTAATAAATACTAAATAGATTTGATATATTATAAATTATAAAATATATTAAATAAGATCATCTTATTTTCAACAAAATGCTAATATATTAAAATACCGGTTTGCATGTATAAAAAAAAAATCTGGCTTGTACTAGCTAAAACAGGAGAAAATTTTCAGTGCTTCAAGACCATAAATAATTAGGTGATTCTTTTTCTAAAAAAAAAAATGATTCCATTTAAATTCTTCTTTTTTTCCATAATTTTCTATCAATCTCTCCATTTTATTTTTATTTTTAGAAGGGAGCATGATGTTCTCAGAGAAAAAAAAACTCTCCTAAAACAGGTAAAGTACCTTCAATATAATGTGAAATTGATAAGCACTTATACATTAAAACCAAAACTTCAAATTCATGGCTCATGGATTTTATTTTATTTTTTACTATACCTTGTTATGGCTTAGGGGAGGCTCCGTCACCGGAGTGGTGTCTTGCGAATCTCAATTATGAAGCTATTAAATATTATAGTTATTTGAACTATTATTTGACAGGTCATTGTTATGTAATTAGTGGAAACCCACATGTCTTGTAGATATAAATATGTCTGTATACGTGGGTAACAGACACAAGTCTCGTTTTACTTTCTTTTCAGTTTCAATGAATTTACTTTTCTCTCTCTCTCATACTTTACTCTTCTGTTGTAATATGGTATCAGTTGATAGTTAATCTTCCGTTTCGTTTGCTCTTATCCTTCAATTTGCTGTGTTTGGTTTTGTCTTCTTCATACCCATGGCGACTGAAACGATTCCTCCACTCACCGATGCAACGAATTCATCAATGCATGTTCGTTCTGAGGTTGAGAATCCATCGTCACCTTTCTTCCTTCATCATTCCGACAACCCAGGGCTTGTCCTAGTTTCGCAATTGCTCACTGGTGACAATTATAACTCTTGGAGTCGTGCTATGAAGATCGCTCTTTCTGTTAAGAACAAATTGGGATTTATTGACGGTTCAATCCCTAAACCTAGTGGAAACGATGCTGTGCTTTTGGCTTACTGGACCAGGAACAATGACATCGTTATATCGTGGATCTTGAATTCTGTCTCAAAGGACATTTCAGGAAGTATTCTGTATTTTGAATCTGCTCTGGAAATATGGATCGATCTCCAAGACCACTTTCAACAGAGAAATGGACCACGGATCTTCCAGCTTCGCCGCGATTTGATCAATTTGGCTCAAGATCAGACCTCTGTAAGTGTCTATTTCACTAAACTCAAGTCTATTTGGGAAGAACTTAGTAATTTTCGTCCTTCCTGCAAATGTGGGAAGTGTACCTGTGGCGGTGTTCGTAATCTTGCATCGTATTATCAAATGGAGTACACCATGGCTTTTCTCATGGGACTCAATGACTCATTTGCACAAGTCTGTGCGCAAATTCTCCTTAGTGATCCTCTTCCACCTATCAACAAGGTTTTCTCCTTGGTGACTCAAGAGGAAAGACAACGTCAAGTTGGTTCATCATCTGTGTCCTACTCCACTACGGCAGCCACTATGGCTTTTGCTGTGAAATCCGATGTTCCTCCTAAAGGACTACGTAAAGAACGTCCTTTATGTACTCACTGCAAACTACTCGGTCTTACTGTGGATCGTTCCTATAAACTCCATGGATATCCACCAGGATATAAGCCCAAACCCAAGGTACCTGGAGGAAAGTATAATGTTGTCTCGGTGAATCAAGTCTCCACCAACTCTGTGGATAACTTTCTTCATGGATTAGATCCTACAAAATGTTCTCAGCTTATGCAGCTGTTGTCTACACATATGGCAAGCACAGTCACACTTCCTGATTCACTTGCTGCTTCTGCATCCTCTAACTCAGGTACTTTGTTTTCCACATCCTTCCCAAGTGGTATTATCGATCCACATTTATGGATTGTTGATTCTGGTGCTTCACACCACATATGTGCATATCCCCATTGCTTTATATCCATGCGTCCAACACATGGTTCCAGGCTCACATTACCTGATAACACGACTGTAGAAGTACGCTTAATTGGTGATGTCCAGCTTACTTCACATATACTGCTTAAGGATGTATTCTTTGCTCCATCTTTTCGGTTCAATCTTTTATCTGTCAGTGCAATCAGTTCAGATTTAAGACTCGTGCTCACTTTTCTACCTACATCATTTGTCATTCAGGACATTATCAGCAAGAAGATGATTGGCAAGGGTGAGAGATTTCAAGGTCTATACATATTTGATTCTACTTGTAATAATTCTGTTTAATGTTTTGCTCTTGTAAATTCTGTTTCCATAGATACATGGCATAACAGACTTGGCCACTTGTCACATAGATGTCTTTCTCATATGAAACAGTCATTGAAATGTATTGATTCCTTTTCCAATAATAAAATACCTTGCTCAATTTGCCCACTTGCAAAACAGAGACGTTTTCCCTTCTTTTCACACAATAATTTGTCTCAATCTTCATTTGATTTGATTCACATTGATATTTGGGGACCATTGCACACCTCTTCATATTCTGGTTTTAGATATTTTCTCACACTTGTGGATGATGCTACACAATTTACATGGGTTTATTTTCTCAAGAACAAATCGGATGCCATCTCTATATTTCCCAAGTTCTATACCATGGTGCTCACACAATTTGGAAAGCCTATTAAAGCTATTAGATCTGATAATGCTAAAGAACTAGCTTACCATGACTTCTGCCAAGATCATGGAATTTTACATCAGTTAGCTTGTGTCGAGACTCCTCAACAAAACTCAGTTGTGGAGCGCAAGCATCAACACATTTTGAATGTGGCACGTGCTCTATACTTTCAATCCAGACTTCCTCTATCATTTTGGTCAGATTGTGTTTCTACAGCAGTGTTCCTTATTAACAGGACTGTATCTGCATTTCTCAACTACAAATCTCCTTATTCACTTCTTTTTAGTAAGGATGTTGATTACTCTTTTTTACGTGTATTTGGCTGTTTGACTTTTGCATCCACTTTAGCAGCACACAGGTCGAAGTTCCAGCCAAGAGCTCGAAGGTGTATTTTCATAGGCTATCCTCCTGCTATGAAAGCCTACAAGTTATTTGATTTAGACAAGAGGCAAATTTTCATTTCTCGTGATGCTGTGTTTCATGAAGATATTTTTCCTTACCACGATTCTTCTCATTCATTAGTGGTGGATCCATTTCCCACTTTGGTTCTCCCTCACAGCAGTCTTACTCACACTTTGGTGGATCCCAACCCATGTTTACAAGATGGTACCCCTCATGAGACAGTTTGCTCAGCACCTCCTATTTCCAACACTTCAAATAATGAAGTTGATTTGTCTAATCAACATAATTCTGCTCCAACAGCTGAAGCTATAGATACATCTTCACTTCAGCAGCCTAGGAGATCTACAAGAGTTTCTAAGCCTCCAACATACCTACGTGACTTTCACTGCAATCTTATTACTGATTGCATTCCAAGTGCAGATTCAGTTCCCTATCCATTATCCTCAGTCATTGCATATGATTCTTTGTCTCCTTCACATAAACATTATGCTCTCAGCATATCTTCTCACTATGAGCCACAGTTTTATCATAAAGCTGTTCAATTTTCACATTGGCGTGCAGCTATGCAAGATGAACTTTTAGCTATGGAAGCTAACAACACTTGGTTTATTGTCCCTCTTCCTCCAGGAAAACATGCAATTGGATGTAAATGGATTTATAAAGTCAAGTTTAAAGCTGATGGCTCTGTTGAAAGGCACAAGGCACGGCTTGTGGCAAAGGGCTACACACAACAAGAAGGAGTGGATTTTATAGATACATTTTCTCCCGTTGCAAAGGTGGTCACTGTTAAAACTTTGCTCGCGGTTGCTGCTTCCCAAAATTGGCATCTTCATCAATTGATGTCAACAATGCCTTTTTAAATGGGGATCTTTTTGAAGAAGTTTATATGCAACTTCCTCTTGGATACAAATCTGGACAATTTCCCACAGGATCTAAGGTTGTTTGCAAACTGCATAAAGCCATTTATGGTTTAAAACAAGCCTCTAGACAATGGCATTCTAAGTTTTCTACTGTCCTTATTTCTCATGGGTTCACACAGTCCAAATCAGATTATTCTCTATTCACCAAAGGTTCAGGTGACAATTTTCTTGCTCTTTTGGTGTATGTGGATGATATATTTTAGCCAGTCCTTCTTCTAACAACATCTTGGCTATAAAATCCTTTCTGCAAAATCAGTTTAAGCTTAAAGACTTGGGATGTCTTAAGTATTTTTTAGGACTGGAAATAGCTCGTGCAAAGAAGGGAATAGTTCTCTCTCAATGTCATTATGCTTTGCAATTATTAGAAGAGACTGGCTTCCTTGCTGCCAAGTCTGCCCCTGTTCCTATGGATTCCAAGTTGGTGCTTAATAGTTTAGATGGTGATCCTTTGCAAGATGCCTCACAGCATAGAAGGTTGATTGGCAAGTTATTAAATTTGACTCTATCCAGACCTGACATCACATATGCAGTCCATAAAATGAGTCAGTTTGTTTCTCAACCTCGTACTCCTCATTTAAATGCAGTTCATCAGCTTCTCAGGTATATCAAAGCTCATCCAGGTCAGGGACTTCTTTTTCCTGCTTCATCATCATTTCAGTTGAAAGCTTTTAGTGATGCTGATTGGGGAGCATGTCATGATTCTCGAAGATCTGTGACTGGTTTTTGTATTTTCCTTGGTGACTCCCTGATTCCATGGCGTGCTAAGAAGCAAACCACTGTTTCAAGAAGTTCTGCTGAGGCTGAATATAGGGCCATGGCTGCCACAGCTGCTGAAGTGTGCTGGCTCTCACAGTTACTAGTTGATCTTGGTTTCAGCCATACTTCTCCAGCCTTAATGTTTTGTGATAACCAAGCGGCTGTGCACATTGCTTCTAATCCTATTTTTCACGAGAGGACAAAACACATCGAGATTGATTGCCATTTTGTTTGGGAACAAGTTACTTCCGGGCGTATCAGATTAATGCCCATACGGTCCCATAATCAACTTGCAGACCTGTTTACTAAAGCTTTACCCGCTTCACTTCTTTTTCCTCTTTTGTCCAAGATGGCAGTGTTAGATATCCACTGTCCATCTTGAGGGGGAGTATTAAATATTATAGTTATTTGAACTATTTTTTGACAGGTCATTGTTATGTAATTAGTGGAAACCCACGTGTCTTGTAGATATAAATATGTCTGTATACGTGGGTAACAGACACAAGTCTCATTTTACTTTCTTTTCAGTTTCAATGAATTTACTTTTCTCTCTCTCATACTTTACTCTTCTGTTGTAATAGAAGCCTAAGAAGGAGGATAAGAAGTCATTAAAATTGGTCGTGGTCTAATGATAAGGAGATAGAATACTTTGCATGAAATTATAAATTCAATTCAAAACTTTGTCGCATGTAAAAAATAAAAAATAAAATGGAAAAGGAAGAAATATTTCATTTTCTAAGAAAAGCTTACAAGTAAATATTTTAATCAAGTGACAGGATTACACGACACGCCCCATAGTTCTATGTCCCAATGGGTCGGTTTTCTGTCAAACCCTCTATAACAACTTCGGTACAAAGTACAATATTATCATCAGCATAATTAATCTATTTGATCAACAAAATACTTCACATGCAATATAATATTCACCTTTCGCCTCTTGCCCTTAGCGTAACGAATAATCTGGCAAGGAAGGGCCAAGGTCTTGCTAGAGTGTACAAATTTTTGAACGAAAACGCTCTATCTTTTACTAATAATAATGCTATGATTGATACTAAGTCGTATTGTGGACCACACGAACTTTTAATCGTATTTGCCAACAATTAAACTAAATATATAAACACTTTTTTTTATTAATTAATTAGAATTAGAATTCTCATTTGGGTTCTAAGTAGCTCGTGAAAAATCCAAACAAACAGTAAAAAAGTCTTAGTTGTCGGCTTATATTAAAAGAAAGGAAACGAGAATATTACTTGGTGTACTTTTCAGCAATGATTCAAAGTCATTGCTGCAAATACAACTGCAAAGCAAGGTAACCGAAAGCACCGAGTTTTGAGCTATACGCTTGAAATGAAATGGCTCCAACTTTGACTTTATATGCATGCGGGTGCATTGCTTATTTCCCAACTTTTAAAATTTTGCCCAAGTGAAAAGTATCTTAATTTTTTAAGTGCAAAGAGCAAAAGTTGTTACTCTAACTGGCATTCACAAATTTAACAAGTTGACGTTTGAAATTTTAAACTGGTAAATCAAATATTTTAAATTAGTTTATTTTTTTTTTAAAAAAAAACTCTATTACTATTTATTTCATGAATTCAATGAAATTATTATGGGGCTATACATTAACTAATGAGGTCTAACGGTAAATAACTACTTCCAAATATCCCTGTTTTTTTTATATCGATTGTTAAATTGAATTCTTTTTTTTTTTTTGGGGTGTAAAAATTGAATTCTTTATGTGTGATCTATTTTTCATTAGTTAAAAGAGGAGCAAATCAATTACAAATACGAGACGCGTATTTTATTTTATTTTTTAAATGTTAATTTATATGATAATGGATTTACGAGTTTAATTTTGTTGTATTGTTAATATAATTTTTTTTACACTATAATATAAAATTATGATAATATATCTTTTAATGAGCTTGACTATATTAATAATTAAATGTAAATGTAAAACTTTTTAATATTATAGATCAAAATTAATTTATTCATAAAATTTAATTAATAGTTTTGTCTTTGCCTATTTCAATTCGAGTTCGCAGCATATAGTTATGTTGAAAACACGATAGGGAGAACTTTGTCGTCTTTGTTATCCTACCTTAAGCGGATTAATCAAATAATCATTTTTTATTGAAGAAAAAAAATTCACATGGTTAGCGAACACATTCAGATAACGTTAATGGAGTTATAGCTTCTAACTATTATTATAATTATTTCTTTTTAAAATTTTACAAAACATTTCCATTGGAATTATTATTTACTTTCTAAACACAACGTTTCAAAACAGAATTAGATAATGTATGGATGGAAAATATCAGAAATTCGCATCATTTTTTTTTTTTTTTCAAATTCGCATCATTTGATATACGAAGACATTGATTTTACATCAATTCAATCTCTGGAGATTTACGAAAAAATTTATTTGGATACCACCTTGGTTGGCAAAAATTTGAATGGTTGAATGAGCCATCAATACGAATATCGTCTGTGTTCCATAACCCATACATAAGATTTATGCCTTAACATAAAAAAAAAAATTGAAAAGTGTTTTCTTTAAAATTATATCATTTCACTTATGTTGTTCAATCACGGACTAAAATTTGTAAATTTAATTCGTAAAGCAGTAATTATTAAGAACATAAAAATGTAAGTCGCCGTGTAAGGTGCAGATCAAATATTCATTAAAAATAATGTTAATATAGATTATGTTGAATTGTATAATCACAGCATATTCATCATTTAAAATATGATTTAATATTATAAATATATGTGTATTATAAAATTCAATGATGCATATGTTGTCGTGACTCATGTATATGATTCACCATAAACCTGAATTTATATTAACACTACTCATTCATCAATCCTTTAACTTTGTCATTTGCATACAGTACTGTACTTTTTTCTTACACTTTTCAATTAAAATAATATTCAAAACCTACTAAAAATTTATGAAGAAAATTATACTTACATCCTATTTTCGTTCTAATTTTCGCCAATCAACGAATTTTTACAAATCAAACTTATTAATTCACAATAAATGATAATCGTTAACGGATGGAAATCAACAATTAAAATATGGTTGTAAACAAAAAATAAGATGTAATTATAACCTTACACAAAATTTATTTATACTTAATTGTTTTATACTAACTTTTTTAATCAATATTTAGAATATGAGCTAAAGACACGTTATTAGTCTATTATCCAATCTATATACATGTTAACTTTGATAAATTATTGTTAATCGTGCGAACAAAACGGTTGAACGAATCATTTTCGTCAATCATTAATCATCTGATTCAATAGCAATCTAACGAAATAATTTGCTGACCGAAACTCCGTTGATAAGAATAACACGGTGGAGCGTATGGAAACTAGAGAGATTCCTAGACATCCTGATTTTATTGTATAATAATTAATAACCAGTGCTTAATCACCCTTAGTTACGAGATCACGAAACTACATGAAATATATATAAAAATGCTAATGACATTGACCTAGTAAAAAGTTTCATCCTCAACAAAAACCGCTGGGCTGGCACACAGCCATTTTCACAAGACTAACAGAGAGGAATCATCATCCGAAAAACAAACTCATGTGGTCCCATACCACGAACAACCCACCCTGTAGGCAACGCAACCATCAACTGCTTTTTTATCCCATTTCTTGTGCAATTTCCTATCAAAATTAAAACAATATTGGTTGAGTTGTCAACTAATATTAACCGTTCAATACAATTGAATAATTGATTTTTGGTGGACTGGGTCAACCAACTTGACGGTTAGTATCGGTCACGCAAGAGCTACTCGCCTACAACCTTAGCTGCCATTTGCAAATGCACCAAAAGAAAAGAACAAGTCCTACCTCACATGTCATTTGGTCGAACATTTGGAATGCACATTACGTTTACAATTCCCAATCAAAACCTAATTGCTAAGCACACCCAAGGGAAACTTAAAATAACACTAGTCATAAAAGGAAATCATTAACAACAAAAAGAAAGCAATTCGTTCCATCACGCATTATTCTCACAACATGATAGCTGCAGTAATCAATGAGTGACGAAATTTCTTCATTAAAATGCAGTAAGTTCCACATAAAGCCAAAAATAAAAAAAAATAAAAAAAATAGCAACGAGGTCCAACTGGTGTGGTATCATCTTCTTCCCCCATGTAAAGAAGAATCTGTTAGATCTATTATCGAGTTCGAATCTACCAATAGATTCTCAAATGCTTCTAAAATTCTCAAGTAGATTTATTCAACTTGTATGTTCACGAAACAAATGGGTTAGTCTGGAAATATAACTAAACTCTAACAAGTTAGCAGCACTAATCAATTGCAGAACATGAGAAAAACACCCCAAGAACAAGCACACTTCAGCGTTTCCAAGCATAAACAAGCAAAGAAAACCCAATGGGAACAACCAACTCATTCTCCTCCACACTGGACCATTCCAACACAGAGGAACTTCCACCGAAAGAACCAGCAGAAGATGTTAACGACACCGACGAAGACGACCAGCTCTTACCCATTTTGCCCCAATCATGAACACCCAAGTTCCAGTTTTGGTGCGTCCACAGATTCACCAAATTCCTGTCCCCTCGTTGTTCCACGTACTCTTCTTCTTCGAATTTGAACATGAAAATGGCGTGGCCGTCACTGTTTCCCTTCTCAAAGAGCCAATTATAGACGTCCCACGAGATTTGAATGGGTACCCCATCAACTTCCACTCTCTCATTGCCTCTGAATTTCCACTTCAATCGCTTAATCTGCAACACCTTTTCGCCATCCACGCTGAAACAGAGCCTGGAATAGTCCCTGCCACCGCAATCTATCTGAATCTCTCTCGTTCTGCCACCGAATCTCGCTCTCGTGCTGTATATTTTGTTGGCGAAGACGTGCTCCCTTTTCAGCACGAGAAATTGACTGTTCTTGGGTTCGTGTGCTTTGGACTTGGCGTAAGCGTCCTTGCTGGAATCACCGACTAGAAGGGTCATCTCGTTGTCCACCACCACCGCCACGTAGAACCCGGAGTTGGGTTCGGGTCCCGACCCGAATTTCGCTTTCGAGAGGTTCCAGAACAAGTGGGTGTTGGGGGAGAGCTTCTTGGTTCCGTGTTTTTTCCAGAAGATGAAGGGCTTGATGTGGAGGTGGAAGGACGCGGATGAGAGAGAAGGAACAGGAGGGGAATCAAATGCGTGATGATGGAGGTGAACGTGGAGGGAACGACCCATAATGGAGCGTGACCACGTTAGAGAAACCATGCCTACGTCGGTGTGGTAGAGATAGGTGCTTAAGTTGGGATTGGTGGAGATCGACGGCGGGGGTGGCGGCTGAGGAGGGTGGTGGTCGTCGGTGGTTGGGGAGGGGCGAAAGCAAGAAGGGAAAGGGGAAGACATTTTTTTTTATTATTATTTTTTTGGTGCAGTGGATGATAGGGTATGGAGTTTAATAATTTGATTGTTGATTGTTGATTTTTGAGTTTTGGGAATGTGAGAAGAGAAAGATAGTGACGAATGGAAAAGAATACGAAGGGATGGGTTGGCTTTTATGGATGAGGGAGGGACCGGAAGACACAGACGAAGACTCTGTCTCTCGCCTTTGCATGTATTATAAGATTCGGATCCTTGGGAGGAAGGGACCCACTCCACTACAGGGTCTTTGGTAAATCACAAATTGGACCGATAAAAATCATTCACTGCCACTTTTCACTGCCGGCGCAAAAGATTGGAACACTGATTATTTTATCACAAAAAATTTACCAGACTTCACGTCAACAGTAAATTTTGTCAAACTGTCATGCGGCATAATTCGCTACACAGTGTAACGAATTATGCATGCAAGTAATTCACTACACAGTGTAGCGAAATATGCTACGTTAGAACCAAAAAGTGTCATGTGTCAGAATTGTTGAAATTCGCTACCCTATGTAGCGAATTTCAACAATTCTGACACATGACACTTTTTGGTTTTATGCATTCTGACGTGACATATTTTGCTACACTGTGTAGTGAATTACTTGCATACATAATTCGCTACACTGTGTAGCGAATTATGTCGCGTGGCAGTTTGAGAAATTTTACTGTTCGCGTGGCATTCTGGTAATTTTTTTGCCAAAGCGTGATATTTTGGTCACTGTCCCCAAAAGATTATCAATTCTTATTCAAGACAAGATCGGAAAATGACTAAGATAAAATAAAATCATTAAAAAAATACACATAGAAAGGGGATACTTGCCCGAATAGAGTATTAATAACAGGGAGGATTTTCGCGGTTTGAATTGGATTAATTTTGAAGGAAGAATCATTCGATGTAATTCCTTTAATTTGATCATTTGATCATTTAATCATTTATTTGGATTTTTTTTTAATTCGATCCAATTCAATTTTTATTCGATTTGAAATGGAATGATTTTCGGTATTTCGAAAAGTTTAAGATTTCAATCACATAGATCATTAGCTATATTAAAATAAAGTCATTTAAAGTTACAAGTCACCGAAGAATTCAAGTCTTCGAATTAAAACAACATAAGCATACCCCTGCCAAGCTACGATGTAGTACGTGTGGTGCGAAGCAACAAAGCAACTCCTAAACGACAACAACATTTTTTTGCCTTGGGTAACACGTGCAACACAAAAGTGCGAGATCAATTGTTCTAAAAAATGGTTATGCTGAGGGCAGCAGTGAACCTAGTGCAGTAAAATTGAGATGTCTTAAGCTAGAGAGCTTCAAATTGAGTGAGGTTTGTACCTACGTGAAGCTAACACTAAGCCTACAACTCTACTAAATCTTAGGGCCATTGGATAAGTGAATTAATCCCAGTTTAGTTTTAAAGTCGCTGCCCTATTTCTAAAAATTCGCTTTGAAGCAATTAGCTTGTAACAGACGTATCTTGAGTTATACAAATCCAATTGAGGCTTGTAATGTGTCGTTGGGAAGATCATGATGTCTAGTTTAACATAATAAAATCTTGAAATTAATGGTAAGGTGATGCAATACCAGTTTTTAAAATGATAAGAACAATTTAGTACCAAACACGCCAATAGAGTCAATTTCTTTAGATTGTTCTTCAAGGAAATGACTTATAGACTCTATTGTGATAAAAAAGTGATGTTTTAAGGTTATGGGACCTTAAGGAAGTTGACTTAGCTCCTCCTACCTTGATTTGATGTTCCAACATAAAGATTTACTACTTAAAAGACAAGTAACATTGTTTGCCTTACTTAAAAATGAAAGATGATGCCTTAAGGGTTCTTAAATAATGTGACGCATTCAAATATGTTTTACATTATCTTAGACTAAATATAAATAATTATGAATTATAATTACTAGTTGATAATTGTGGTATGAATTTTGTTATTGATCATACTTGCACCTTGTGATAGGTGATACTAGTAAGAAACTAGTGTGGATCGTGTGTTGTGAACAGTTGGTTGATGTCATGAGTTCGAAGTAAGCATTGGATAGAAAGCTTCAAGGGGTAAGTAAGCTTTCGGTCTTTAGAGTTAATCACATGTTTGTTCCATTTATATACATGGTATGTTTTTGGAAATTGAATTATGATATGATGCATTAATATTTATGTTTGCTTATGTGCCACACGAGATGAGTTTCCTTGTGTGAGACATAAGATGGGTTTCCTTATGCTTAGTATAAGTCTGGCTTCCTTGTGCAATACATACATATTGTATTCTCTGGCCAGTAGAATTTATTATTGCACACATGCATTGATATACATATGATAATGCTTTATATTGATTTTTAATGTGGTTATACCTGAAGTGAACTTAGGGGTGGAGGAACCCGGCAAGGACCTCTAGTTTATTGAGATGATTGTCTCATCCTGTGTTATGGGGATTTCATTTCAGGTGTAGAGACTGATGATATTAGTGCATCATATGGCAGCAGGCCAGGATACAATTCTATCATATAGCACGAGACTTTTGATTATTATTTTGTTGTAGATGATATATAATCAAGCCTATGTGAAGACTATGTATTTTGGAGAACATTGAGAGTTGCCATGCATGTTTTGTATAAACCTATGTGCATTGACTTAGATTAGCATGTATATGTTTATTTATCATTACCAAAAAATTATATAGATATAGAGGCGAAGCAAATGGCCCAAAATAATTATAATCAGTTACAAAATCCATGGCCAAAATAATTTTCAAAGAACCCAATTTTATTTGCTGGCCTTTAACATCCTAAACCTAAGTCACTTTTGTTAACATTTCAACTTTCAACACCGCCACTCTATCTTCTTCAACGCCTCTTCATCATCTTCAGTGTTACTTTATCTTCTTCGGCCACATCATTTGAAGTTTCTGCTATGTTTTTTCGCTCTTGATTCATACAAGTGAGTGATTTTTTTTTTCAATACTTCATCTTCTTTATCAACATACCTCATTTTGGGTGGATTTTTTTTCTATCCCACCATTTATGTGATATTCCTCGTCGATCCTACGCGATATCACTAGCTTTCAATCTAGTAGTCATTTCGGATCTATTATGGATGAGAAGATCGTAACAATGTACGATCCTACGATCTGGATCATGATTTTGACAACTATAGTTAGAATTAAGTTTTCCCTTGCCTTACGATAAAATATAGACAATCTATAAGTTGTATAATAAGGATTTATAAAGGGATTAATGTTTCTCATATTGTAGGAGATAAAATTATCTTCTACACATAAATAAGAGTGTGTGGGGCTCATGCGAAGAGAAAAGAGATAAAAAAATAACATTTGCCTCATACATTTTAATGTGTGTATACTGTATAGAAAATAAAATTATCTTCTACAAAATATTAATCCTATTTATAAATAAGTATGAATCTGTTTTGCAAAATGCTAACATAAGCCGGCCTATTAAAAGTTTGATTTGACCAAAACCTTATTTAAATCCCCACATCAAATATAAACTTTCAAATATGTTAAATGCATCTACATGTTTGTTTTACTATTTCATAAACGTAAAAAAGAACTTTCGTTTTCTTTTGTTTACCGTGTTATAAGAAGCGTAAAAGAGCTGATTGCGGTCAAATAGATCTTAAAAAAAATAAGTTTTAAGAAGTGTAAAATTCTAAATGTTAAAGTAGTTTATAGTTATAGCTCTTAATAAAATTATTACATCATGTAATAAAATAAATATATAATAAATAAATCATATTAATTATATAACTAAAGATTAAGTAATTAGGCCCACCTGATAAGCCAAGCAAATTATTTTAGGAATTTAAGTGTTAACTTACTTAATTAAATATTTTTTTTAAAAAAACTGAACTATATTTATTTAATAAATAAATTAAAATAAAGAGTAAACACCCTTTTTAGTCTCTGTCAATATCTACGAAGTCCTTTTTAGTCTCTGGCAATAAAAAAGGACCAAATTGGTCCCTGAAATTACAAAAAAGGGTCATGTTAGTCCTTATGTCAACTCCCAAATATGTAGAGTAGCCCTTTTCTTGTATTTTCAGGGACCAATTTGATCTTTTTTTATTGCCAGGGACTGAAAAGGACTTCGTAAATATTGTCAGGGACTAAAAATGATGTTTACTCTAAAATAAAACAGACAAAAAAAAAAAAAATTAGGTTACAGCCTTTATAAACTGATGGACCTTTTTCTTCCACGTTACGGTGATGCACATTATTCAAATGGTCAATTCCCTGAAATGCCGAAGAGAGGCGCAGGCCAAGCGGAGATCCGAGCGTGTCACAAGTGTTAGCTACATAATTTAAAATAATATATTGCCTATGAGTAATGACATATGACTATTATTGATTGGATGTTGTTTAATTAATCATCTGTTTGAGTTTGACTACTAGCCATAGAACATGAGCGGTACCCTGGTACTCACGGGTACACACATTGTGGGTCTATAGCAAGTTAGAAACAAAGACTCTTATCTATATTAAGTTGGGAGACCAAAATTAAATGTGACACACCAATGTGCTCCTTAATCCGAAAACAGGGGTATGTGAATGGTACTACTTTCAAATGGATTGATTGAACTCAACATCCGTGTTAGAATCTATTAGGGGATGATTCCATTTGTTTTGCCAGACCGAGGATAACATCAAGAAGTGGGTGACAGATGAACTCTGTCTGGTTTGTTAATGAATTAATAATAAATAAGTTGGATCAAGTTAGACTTAAGTAGGTTACTAAATATGTCGATTCGATCCCAGTTTGTATTTTTTTACGCGTTAGCTCACCAACTCGTGGATATTTTTAAGGGCTTCTTGTTTAATTTTTTTACAACTAATTAATTAAAATTTTATATTATTTAAACATTTGGGTCATTATTATAATCATTCAAATTTAATTTTTTTATTATTGAGAAAACTAATGTAAAAACAAATAATACGTAAAAAAAAGCTTAACAAGTTGACAAGTCACAATCTATTCAATTAGCAATTAATGATTTGAACATGTAAACCCGCATTTAAACAAACTTGAAAAATGCCTAATTCTAACTTACGTAAATTTCAGGTTAAATGAATTAATTGACTTGTGAATCGCAATTTGCATATAGTGCCTTTTTTTA